AGTACTTGGCAACAACAGAAAAGCCAAATCGCCTATTTCCCCTTTGTTCTCATGATGCAGAGAAAGCTCATGAGAGAAAGCTCAGAGAAAGGAGTGAACATTTCTGTCAGTGTCTCATTTCTTTTTTCTTTTGTTTTAATCATTTTATTGGGGGCTCTTACAGCTCTTATCACAATCCCTCCATCCATCCATTGTGTCAAGCACATTTGTACATATGTTGTCATCGTCATTTTCAAAATGTTTTCTTTCCACTTGGGCCCTTGATATCAGTTCATTTACCCCCTACCCTACCCTCCCTCCCTGACAATTTATAAGTTATTGGGGTTTGTTTCATGTCTTACACCGTCCAGTGTCTCATTTCTAAACTGGCACCAAGTCTACAAAGTTTATTGTTAAGGAAGGACCCTAAGACATTTATACCATGTTATCCTGATATAGTCTGGTCTTCTTAATCAAGATTTTAAAAATAGCATGCAGTTGAAAAAGAGTAATTTTTTTTTCTCTTTGGAAGAATGAAAAAAATTGAAAAACCACTTTCACTTGTGGCGTGAAGGCCACTTGAATGGCCTAGACTGTACAAAGAGCAGTCCACCAAGTAGGGAAAGCTAGCCAGGGCTTCCCCTGAAGCCCACTTTGATTATGTTTGTTTCTGAACAGCTGTGTGACCTGGAGTGACTTATATAAATGATTCTGGTGTCTTGGTTATTTAGGACTACTCTAACAGAAATGCCACATCTGGGTGGCTTTAAGAAACCGAAATGTATTTCCTCACCCAGTGCAGGGGCTAGAGGCTAGAAGTCTGACTTTGGATGTCAGCTCCAGGGAAAGACTCTCCCTGAAGGAAGGTCCTTGTCCCTTGAACTTCTGCTCCTGGCAATCTGCAAGTGAATCGCCTTCTCTGACTCCATCTTTGCTGCTCTTGCTTGCTGGTTTAGTCTCTTTTTAGAAACATCCTAAACAAATCACAAACGTAACAATGCCAACCCTTTCCCAAATGAGAATCTATGCAGAGGCATAAAACAAATCTCAAACTCACTGCCATCACACTGACTCCTAGTGACGAGACAGGACAGGGTGGACCTGTCCCTGTAGGGTTCTGACACTGTAACACAGAAGAAATTTACAGGAGTAAAAACCTGGTCTTTCTCCCAGGGGAGGCTGGTAGTTTTAAATGGCCGACCTTGCAGAATGGCAGCCCGATGCATAACCACTACTCCACCAGGACTGTCACTGAGGCAAGGATTTAAAACACGTACAAGTGGGGGTGAGGTGTAGTTGACTTCAGCAGTGCGTTTGTTTGTTATTGTTGTTTTAGGGGATGGAGGGTCATCTTGGTGGGTTAACTACAAGGTTAACAGTTTGAAAACACCAACAGCTCCACATGAGAATGATGGGTCGTCCACTCCCCTAAAGAGTTGCCCACACGGGCAAGTCTACTCTGACCTATACAGAAGCCCAGACCCCCACACTAATCCATTCTAGAAGGAGTGTTGAGATGCCATGCAGTCAAGCTGTGAATCAATGTTTCCCATAAGAAAGAACTGAAAATGGATTAATCCATTCTCGACCACCACGTTTTTAGCCTAACCTTGCCTTGTTACATAAAACATGACTCAGGCATTTAAAAGTAAGTAAGTACAGAGTTAAATGACATAATTTAAATAAGAAGCCCAACATTAAAGACGTTTTTAACCACTACAATTGGCTCACATCTTGAGACTGATGAGGATCTGGATCTGTGGACCGGAT